ACTTTACATTACTGGCCAATTACATGTATATTTACAAGTGCCATGCAACCGTAATATTTGTTGATTCTTCAGCTTTAATATGATTGACACATCAATTTTAGCAGGGAGGTTGACTTGTAAATTTGGTCTCAATGTAGAGTTAATTTTCTTTTGCACTCTGTGGAGAGTGTATCAACAACTGTCATTTTTAATAATCATTTTAGCGCTTCTCTGGACTGTGGTCTGTCCACACATTTCCTACACTAACAACTGTGTCAGTCAGCATCAATCAAATATTTGATAAAGTTTGCTGATGACACAACTTTTTTCACTAATGGAGAAACACAGCATTGTTACGTGCTGGTAGCATCAACAAAACAAAACCTTCAGGGCTGCATTTGAATACAAAACGTTTAACTTTGACAAAAGAAATACAATGCATCACAACACCACAGCTGTGATTATACTTGAAACACAGATAATCTTGTAGCTGTGTTCAAGTGTTACTCAAATACATAAGCTTGACCATACTACCATGTATTTCAATTTCGAATTGTTGTGAGGATGCATTCAGGTTCTGCACTGTGGCATTTGTAAACAACACATTGATGAGATCAAATGTCAAATTCAGAAATTGCTGCACCTGCTACACCAGCCCTCAAGTTCAGATAAAACTTGGAAGACTGATGCATCTCTCTTTTCTAGGTGCTTTTAACCCATGTGAACCTAACCCCTGTGGTGCTGCTTCATGCACAGTTGAGGACGGGTTGCTCTGTGCCATGGTAAGTCCCAAAACAGTTCCAGGTGCCATCTTTCGCATCTTTCTTTATGATGTTTTGGTTTTACAGACTTTGCCAGTAGCATTTCTCTGTATGTCTTTGCTGTTGAGAAGTTTTCATGTTTTCTATTGTTTGTCTGCATTCTGTTTATTAATCAGCTTGTCAGATACATTTTTACCTGATTGTGATTATATTATTATATATTTCTAAAAATCTATTATCTCTCCCCGCTGTTCTGTCCTGGTGTGTTTTGCATCATATTTTTGCTATGTTATGTGTTCCTTTGATTTCCTTGTGTTCATTTTGTCTGTGTCTTGCTATGGGTCTCTGTGTTTGTGTGGCAGATTGGATGTCAAATATGTATCAGCTCTGCTCTGAGGTTGTACAGCCCCTGTGTCAGACGTGTTCCCACAGCTGTCTTCAGTCTATATGTTGTTTTTGGTGCTGTGCCAGTACATCGCCTCCGCTCTGCTGTATGCATGCTAAACTCAGGGCAACATATGTGCTTTCTGGCATCATATGGGCGCTGCCATCCTGCTGTAATTAGAATACTGATCTTGTGCTGCAGCTAACCACAGATTCAAAACATTAACTTACTGCAGATATTACAAATATTCTTCTCTTTGCAGGAATAAACACAAATTTGGTATATATTTCAGTATATATTGTAGATAATCATCAGTTGGTAATCTGAGAGGCCTCAAATAGTAAGATTTATCAAAAACAAAGGAACATAGATGATGATTCAGTATGCAGTAAGTCTAATTTGAATCAGAGGTTGCAGCAACTACAGTATTGTTCACTAACTTTGCAGTCCTGAGGTGTGATAGTCTCTATCACAGCCTCACATCCCTCACCTTGCTGGGAAACCTCCCATCCCCACCCCACGCTGAAACAGTAGTGTCACCCGCCCCCTTTTTTGCAGAGGTAGATGTGTGCCATTCCAGCCCTTGTGCCAATGGAGCCACCTGTGTGGAGAGTGCAGACTCTTACAAATGCTTATGCCTGCCCAGCTACGGAGGGGAACGCTGTGAGATCGGTATGAGATCAGCTTCAGCTAATAAATACTAACACCAGCCTCTCAAAAACAACTGAAGAGAAAGAGATGCTTAAACATCACAAGCAGATAGCATCGTTACTCGCTGTGACTCTGTCAAAATACAAAGTCATGAGGAATCCTGTTGTCGAAGATGAACTACACATAGCTGTGAATGTTGTGGTTTGCCATGGGACTCAGTTCACCCCAATCACAACATATTTTGCCTAGTAGAACCTTGCAATACAGTAATGTTTCAGTGTTTTACCGCTCAAAACACTGAATAATTTACTTTTTGTCAAACCCCTTTCTTGAACAGTCTCCAGTAATAGGTACAAAACTGTAACAACAAAGCAAGTCTGTGAAGTTTGGAGTCTTTCATAGTTGTCGAAGTCAGATCAGTTCTCTGCATTTAAACCATTATTTTACGTTCACAGGATTTCTGGCTACATTTAAAATAGCCCTGTTCAGATACGGGGAGAGGGGTTAGAGAACATTACATTTTAAAAATCTGCGTCTTATAGCGTCTATCCATTGACTGTGTATGTAATCGTATCACCTCTAAAATGTGCTTTGTGTTCTGTCTGAACACACAGTAAGAGAACCAAAATAACCTTAACTCAAGTTCCAACCAATTAAGTCAAGTTAGTTCAGGGCTTTCAAACAGCCCCTGTGGTCTTCATCAGTGAATGGAACTGGTGGAAGTGTCATCACGTGACCTAAGTGCTGAACGTTGTAACACTTGTCCCCATACCTTACTGACTCCTGGTTGATGACCTTTTACGTGTTCGCAGTAGATTGTGTGACCACGGACGTGTCTGGTGTTCACAGACAGCTAATGTTCATTAAGTCTCTTGCTCAGCGTCCTTACTGTTTCTCCTATAGTGTTCCCTATAGTTGTTGTGTGTGATATCATCACCACTCCAGTTTTTTTTTCAGAAGTGATTCTTCTATAGGGCGTACAATGATTTACAGTGTATAAGGCAGTACCAGAGTCTCAACATTTTTTAATTCCTATCCGCATTCATGTCATAAAATAACACCTGAGCCAATTCCATTTGCTGATCAAGACTGTTGGATGCAGATAAAAGCACTGAAAAGGCAGATTAGTGGACCTTGAGTTGAGATTTGGTCACACATACTGATCCCAAGGTCCAAAGTCATGCCTGTAGTATTACCATCCTGAAACAGGTGAATTGTGTCAGGAAGGACATGTTGTGAAAGGCATGTTGTTTCTGGGCAGTGACAGGAAGCGGAGGATATCTCAAAAGGCAAATAAAGCCAAAGTTATCTGGACGGCAAAATACCACTTGGTAGGTGGAAAAATATTAAAATTTGTTTGTGTGTAATTTGCGTGAACCAACCCTTTAACTAAAGGTGGAGCCATAGAATGAAAGAAGTCTTTGAATGTTAAAGTAAAAGGAAAAAAATGGAAATTTACAATTACATTATTGTTGGGCAGGGCTGTGAAGTGAAGCATTATATAGAATTTTCCATTCTGTAGTGGGAGGGTTGTTTTGCATGTCAGGGTGGAAACACTGTCTGCGGTAAAATTTGTATTAAATGCCAGACCGACTAAGGTCATCGCAGAGGGAAAATATGCTCATCACTGTCTCACAAGACAAGTGCTGAATATGCAAAGCTGAAACACTACATGGGTTGTGAACAATATCAAGCACTTTATCTGCTGCTCAAACACTAATAGCACACAGATAGCAGAAAGAATGATAAGAATACAGAAGAGCTTCTCATCATCAGATACTGTGCTTTAGTTTTCCAACCCATTTAGATGTGGATGAGGAAGGATATTTAATTTATAGTCTAATAAGAGTCTCAGAGTCCTAGAAATTGAAAAAAGACACGAATGAAAGTACATTCAGAATGCCATACGTTGACTGAATGTTGACTCCTTGGTGTTGCGGCTGCAGATGAGCAGCAGTGTGAAGACGGTTGGACTAAGTTTCAGGGGAACTGCTACCTGCACTTCTATGACAGAGAGATGTGGCTGGATGCAGAGCAGCGCTGCCGGGACCTGAATGCCCACCTAGTCAGCATCATTACCCCAGAGGAGCAACACTTTGTCTACTGTGAGTGCATAATGTAGTGTGTGTGTGTTTGTGTCAATAGAGATGGAGACAGACAGAGAATGAAAAAATTAAGTCGCAACCCTTTTTCCCACCCACAGCAAACGCACAGGATACCAGTGGATCGGTCTGAATGACAAGACAGTGGAAAATGACTTCCGCTGGACAGATGGCACGCCACTGGTGAGTGAGGACATTACTCTGGTGTGTTGCTCCTGTTAGATGCAGGGCATAGTATCGTATAGTAGGGTGTATTGTGGTGGTTCCTAACCTGTTTGGATTGTAAAGCCCCTTAAAACAAAGTCTACTAGCTCCCCTTATCACAGTTTGCATACAGTACAGGCTACGGAGTGACTTTTCTCTCCAAGAGGGTTTTCTTTGAATACTCTTCAGGGCATGGATGAATTACTGAACAGGCATACTAGAACAGAGCCTCTGTATAAAATTAATATTTATTAATTAATCCATCCATCACCAACCGCTTATCCGGGGGGGAGAAAGGCCACACACTACCACTCACACTGACATTCACGCCTAAGGACAATTTAGAGTCACCAATTAACCTAGTCCGCATATCTTTGGATGGTGGGAGGAAGCCGGAGCACCGGAGAGAACCCACGCAGACACGGGGAGAACATGCAAACTCCACACAGAAAGGCCGTATCTGTATGAATATAGTATTTCTTATTAAGAGAATCAAACAACTACAAAAGACATCGCCGAGTGTGTTTTGTCCCTGGAGTCTTCAGGGTTCTGGTTCACCTGCAAAATGTTACTGAAAGATACACAAAACAACTACAAACAATGCGTCAATCTGGATATCTTTCACTTCTGTAGGCGAGGCGGGGGCCTTTTACATGCTGGTGCACATGGGCACATTCTCTCACAATCTGTCCTTTTTCAGAGACTTGAAGATGTACAATAATCAAGTAATTATTGAAAAAAACAGCGTAAGTCCTGACCCACTCGCCTCTGTTCTCAATGGGTTTTCTCCATCGTGAATACAGCACCCAAAGTCAGCCTTGCTGCCAGTTTGTGACCAGGCACAAAAACACATCAACAAAATATCCTCTGCATCTCAAGACTTACATTATAGAAGAGACATTTGTAACTGCAAACAAGTCAGTTATTATTCTTTGTTTATACTTGACGCCTCATTGGAGCTACATTATCAGTCACCCATGAATCTAAACCAATGCAGAATATGCTTTAATTGCATTAACAGTTCTATATTATATACTGTATATTTGCATTTAGCTTTGTATAAAAAAATGTTAGTTCAACATGCATGAAAAGGATCTTTTATCATTTTGGAGAAGTCTGCGCATGCAGAGGTCTGTGAAAATGCAAAGTCATGCCTAAACAAGCACCAAAATAGCAATGCACCATCTGATCTGCATAAGCACAACCTCAGCTGCACCACTCCAAACACAAGTGGGTTTATTTAAAGGGACAAAATTACCCAACAGGTGCAAGCACAAAAAATTAACTTCATTACCAGGTGTTTGGATGGAAATAAACACTGCGTTTAGAAAACATGACTGTGTTGGTGAAAATTGGCAGCTTCAGGTAACAGTGAGATGATATACGCCCAGTCTGAGTAATAGAATGATGAGTTTGAAGGCTTATCAGAAGCCAAAACTCTGCAGTTTATGTTACTATGAGACAGGATTTTTCAACTCTTGAAAAGTTAAGCCAGGTAACCTTTGTTGCTGGAAAACCATGTATTTTTAGCTGGAGCCCTGTAATGAAATAAATAGTTATGTCTGCATTTCTTCACAGAGCGCTAATATCTATGCCTTAAGAATGGAGTATGCCTGAAACAATCTACTTCTTACAAAGTGTCATCTGGCCACACTTAAAGGCAAAAGTGTTTATATACTGTTCTGAAGATCTGTAGTCAAAGACGGACGAAAAGCCTGCCATCACGGTGAGGGGCAAGATGTGAGAATAGTTCAAGTAGGGAAAGTGGTACACAGCAGTTGAGACTGAAAATGAGATGCTAAAAAAAGTTCACATCCTGATTACTGACAGCGCTGAATGATGAATTGTAAGGGGGATTCAAATGAAAAGTTGTGGTCCCTCTTGAAGTATGCTTCTTCTTCCGCTTCAGCAATATGAGAACTGGAGGCCGGCCCAGCCAGATAATAAAAGCTCTAGAGAAGACTGTGTAGTGATGATCTGGCATGAGAATGGCCAGTGGAACGACGTGCCCTGCAACTACCACCTGCCATTTACCTGCAAGAAAGGCCCAGGTATGTTCAGACTTAACATCTGCTTCTGCTCAAGTCTGTGATCTACAGCTTTAAACAAACATCAAGACAAGGTGACCAACACACAGTCGTGAATTATTGCGTTGTCATAGCAAATGTTTTGACAAACAATTCCCTACTTACACGTCCACCTGATTAATGTAAAGCAGATGATACACGAGGCAACTTTTTGAGCAATGTTGCTGGGCAATGTTGCTAGTTGCAAGTCCGACTATGTTTTGAACAGATAGCGGCGGTGCGGGTGGCGGAGTGGTGGGGAAGGGATTACGGTAGTAATCTTTACTCATTACCATTGACGGCTACGTTGCCCTGCACGATTGCTCTGAAAGTGTCTCTGTGTATCATCAGCTTAAGAGTCACATAGTAATTCTCCATCATTCCAGCAGAACTATGTAGGACCACTTTCACACAGAGCCATTAGATGTGATGTTCATGATGATGATTACTGCAGTACTCCATACTGTATTATCAGTGCACTGGTAGTTTCACTAGCTTGTCATAGTTGCAGCTATTAACTTAGACACAAATAAGTGGACAGATGGTTTGATATGATGCTCTGTGGCCTCTGGTTCTGTCCTCAGTGTCCTGTGGCGCCCCGCCACAGGTGGAGAATGCCCACATGTTTGGTAACAGGAGGGAGGAGTACCCTGTCAACTCCATCATCCGGTATCAGTGCAACCAGGGATTTACACAACGCCACCCTCCGGTGGTTCGGTGTAAAGCAGATGGACAGTGGGAGAAACCCCAAGTGGAATGCACTGATGGTGAGTGCAGTCTACATGGATACCCTGTTAGTCATTTTGGGTCTAGTAGTTGAAAAAAACTTACTGACAGGTTAAGAAAAATGTGTTATTTTTTTAACAAGAACTCACTCTTGTTGTGTTCTACAGTGAAATCCAGAAAAAGAATACAGCGGAGGAGCAGCGGGAGTCCGGCAGCCAGCAGCAAGCTTCACTAAACAGGAAAAACAGGAATTAATTATTTAAATGAAGAACATTTGCAGAAAACAAAAAACATTTTCCACTTTAGTGAAGATTAAAAGGTTGAATTGTTGGAAAGCCAACATTAAGGGTCCTAAATCTATCCCCTGCCCCTCGTAATATATTTGAATTATATATAATAATTTTATTGCTCTGAGTTCATTTTCATTGTGTGTGCTGTGATATAATTCAGTTTGGTGAAATCATTGCTGGGATACTTTGTTCCATATGAGATTTACATTTATAGAAGGCAGCATCTGTCTGGTTCACTGTAGTCTGCTGTAGCATTGCTCATTGTAACATCTATTTTGGCAAAGGTAAAGTGAAATACTGATGTTTTTAAAGTTCATATCGCCATCTTCATATCCTTCCTGCTGGTTTCTGCACTCAGTCAGTGTAGCCAGTGGTGTTAGCCACCATTCTTTGTTGTCACGAAGTGTAAGCACATGGAGATATGTTTAGTTTAGGATAGGATATAAACACATGAAGATAAATACCCAATAATCAATGAATCCTATTTTCCAGAGAAACAAAAACTTTCCAAAAGTACATTGTGGCTCTCTACGGTCATATTTAGTGTCATCTGAGTATCTAAAATATATCTGGATGGAAATGATCAACCTAAGGCAGATGTGAGGGCTGCACTGCACTGGTTACACAGTTAAAACTGATCTGTGTGGTGGCATGAATCATTCAGTATCTAAAAGGTGTCAAAACAGTCACCTCACTCACCTTACAGTCCAAGTTTATTTATTTGGGGGATGTTTAATAGCTGGAACAGATGTTTCATTTCAAATTTGATTTAGATATACATGTGAATTTTGAAAATCCAATCACACAAGTCATGTTGGCTTATTACAAATTAGAAAAGAAGTCTAAGTAGGTGATGTTCCGACTAATTTTAGCCATAGAGAGAAAACAAACAAATCCAACAAACTTTATAGTCTGCTTTAGCTATTGTGTGGTTTAAAACAGAGACTTTTGGTCAATGTGAATACACAACCTTTTATTTATTGATTTCAAACAGTGACAGAGTCTCTGCTGGACTGAGCCAGTGATTGTCGTACAAGAGATTCAGTACTTAATGGTGATGAGACTACAGCAGCAGCCGTAACACACGGCCAGGGTGAATAAACTTCTACAAGCCCCATTTTGTCATATTTAATCTGTAGAGGATGAAGTGAAACTGCTTGTGTTCCCGCAGTTTGTCATGTTGGCTTGTTTGAGTTTTTTGTTTTCTGTGTGTTTTGGTGGTCATCTTCCACACGACTGTGCAGTGCATAGTGTTTCTGTGGAGTCAGTATAATGAACCTGTTTCATGAATCTATTTCATGTTTGTAACCTCAGAGGAAATAACATCACTGTAAACATTACAGTGTGAAATGCCTGCTGTTGTTTGTTTCCAACTTTGACTGCTCTCATTTGTGCACTTGTTGTGTTATTGTTATATTTGGGGGCTGTGCCTCCATCATACATACTACCTGCTGCATGATAAACCAAAGACTGAGAATACAATTTCAAAGTTGTACATGTGTCGGCTGTAGCCCCATTTTATTCACTAATTTAAAAGGATATGTCTGCATATTCTCTATTTTTCTTATTGTCAACAAAGCCTATGGAAATACCCAAACCAACAATAAATGTATCTACTAACAAGTATTGTGTGTGTATTCAAAGACTGATATACCTTCTTCCTCTGTAACATAAAGCTCCATTGTTGTCCAAAAAACGTTTTATAAGAACTGGACACCAGAATCCAAAATGGCACATATTTACTTGAATAAAAATTGCTCCCCAGCGCAATTTTAGTTGCCCAAAAAGTTTTCCCCCTTCCTTGTTTGCTTCAGCACTGGGCCCACTGCACATGGGTATTAGATTTTCTTCCACTGCTGTGAGAAGACTTTATATTGGATTTGTTGTTGACAGTAAAAAAAAAATACAGAGATTAATACCAGACTTACTATTTCAAATGCAAATTCAGCCAGTGTTTAAATTCAGCTATGAAATATTGGTTCTTTGCATGAGGCAGATAAACGCAAAGAACTGATATAAAATAGACAAAAATATGATTTAAGAGAAACACATAAGTTTGCCTCATCCTCACATAACTTTGACTTGTTTTATGAAACCAAAGTGGTGCAGAATGAATTCACATGTGCCCCATGTCTAAATGTTTGTACTCGCATCAATCAATGCCAAATAAAAACACTTTGGTTGTTACGTTTTCTAATGGATTTAGATTACTCTTGCGGCTCTTATCTCTGTTCATACTGTTCAACAACTACTTGTATAACTAATATAATTAACAGACTGCACAGATGAGTCAGTCCTCCATCGTTCCAGGAGGGTCACCGCCCAAATGTCCCAGGTACAGACAACAAACACGTCTTTCACCTTCCATCCGACTCTCAGTGAGCTCAGTGTTTCTGTGGCAGCAGCCGAGGTAAATAGAATACGGCACTGACTCATAGGAATAAGAACATTACGGCAAATTTGTATTTGCCCAACAGGGTGGGTTGCACGTCAGTGTTCTCTTGTGACTGAATACAGCCCTTTATGGATCCTCTGTACCACACCCTCCATCAACACACACACCGGTTCACCTCTCTGCCTCGGGCCTCATCTCTCACAGAATATTTTGTACTTGTTAATTAATAGAAAACAGAAAATGTTTGTATCCTAAAACATATTGCAAAGCACTTCTTGGTGTGAAATTAGAAATACTAACTTAAAAATGAACCTTAAAATAGACCTTAAGAATAAAAACTGAATAAAATGATAGCACTATGTCATTTATTAATAGCATATAGAGGAGAAGGCTGCTGGATTTATAAGAATAAATTGCCTATATGTAAAACACTTATTTGACGTCTGATACCACTTCCGTATCAGTATGGTAAATATGAATCTACAGCCAGCAGGCAGTTAACTCAGCTGAGCATAAAGACAGGGGAAAAACATGGTCTGTCTTGTCCAAAACATAAACCACTTACCAGAACCTTTAACACACAATTTAACACATTATGTCTCATTTGTCTAATCCTCACAAAACCAAAGAGTAATGACAACTATACTGCTGCTTTATGGGGAGTGATATATAATTATTAACTACAAGCTAATTAGCATATTTACACAACTCCCCATGAAAAATCTACAAATCCATTTTGACATAAACACACAGCTAGTGCTTACCAAATTGACTTGTAGTCTCCCTACAAGTCAATTTGGTTGCTCACACATTAGCATAGCCACAGTTTAAGATGGGTTTAAAATTGTGTTGTCTGGAACTAAATCACTCGTTCTCTCACATCCCATTACTCTGGTTTTAAGATGCACCTGTGGTTTAGTCTAAACCCAATTGGTGTGTCCTGTAGCAATCCCTTAAATGCCACTAGAGGTCATTGTATCTGAGGTTTCACTACTAACTGCACGTTGTAGAGTTGAGTTTAAGGGCAGATTTCTACAGCTCAGAATGGTTATAAATTCTAAAAGTTAAAATCTACCTACATGTATGAAAAAAACACGAATGTCAAAATAAAATTACATTTAAAATGTTCAAAAATTAAAGCTTTTAAAACTCCTGAAAGTTCAGCTTAACTGGATTTTGATGCCAAAATCTATATATATTTTTTAACTACATTGAATAAATAATGTATCTTTTATAGTTAAGGCAAGGTCCTCTACATCTATGATCACCCAAAAGTGTACTCAGAAAATGTATGTTACAGAAAATGAGGCCTTGGTTGAACCAAGTCCAGTTGCCCTTGACTTTAACCTTCGTTGGATAACTGAGAATCTTCACAGACAACATCAAATTATCCTTCATGCGATGCTGCAAAGAAGAGCTGTGACAACACTGAACACGTTGCAAATTAAAAAAATATAATACCAACAACAAACCCCACGCAGGAAATTAAGATACCTAGGCCAGCTTCCAAGCAAACTCTGAAGCAGTTTTTGAGTGGTGAGCTGATCATGGCAGCCATTTATTTCCCTTGTTCACACTGCAGTAAAATACAACTCGTTTCCGACTCCTTTTTCCAGCCATCAGTAATTTCCCATGACAGATGAAGTTGGTTGGCCCTAACAGTTTCCTTGTTTTGTAAAGTGGAGCAGAACTTCATGTTCGTCACTGGAATAAGCTTTGTTGAATTTGCCCTGCAGTTCTGTGTGGTGCTGATGATAAACAACAACAAAAAGCATTCAATGACTGGTCCATTTGACTTCAACTCTTGGTTTTGTTTGTAATAAGAACAGTCTGCACCTTATATATCCCGTGTAAAGCTACTTTTTCTTTTTGGATTTCAACAAACAGAGCCAAACTCCAGGTCTTCAACCAGCACCATTCCTAATGGATTTGTGTTTTCAGATAGTGAGCGATATCATTATATAATTATCACAAAAAAACTACTAGGCTTCAGATCTTGCAAGAAGAAGTTTTCTTCAGTATCAAAGTAATCCAGTTACAGCTGTCTGTAAATTCATGGGTTCACTGCAAACAGGAACTGTTAATAATAGCTAATTTGTCATACTTTTACTTTAATAGTCCCACTCTGCCAATAATGTTAACAATATATAGGTCAAAAAAACGGGGCTCAAACAACCTCCTATTTGATGACCTCTTGCTCTTCGGAAGGATTAAATTTTGTTTTGTACACGTTTCCACTTACCAGATTTGCAAAAGATTTTGGATTTACTCCTTTTTCACAAAAATGTCAAATTTCACAAGCAGCTCTTCCTATGCAACAAACTTAATATGAGGACAATTCTTCATCCAAGTTTGCAGAAAAAACTAACTGCGATTGTAATTATTACTGAGGTGAGGGTGAAAAGTTATACACCTCGGGATTAAACATTGGGAATAAAATCACTCATCCGCGCAGGTAATGGTTAAATCATTCCACTTCCCCATAAGAAATATATCCAGTCCAAACGAACCTTAAGACAAACTTTTCCTTCTGTTTTCTTTCTAGAATTGAAAAGCCACCAACTATTAAGTCAACTATTCACATACAATATATCTCAATTAAGGAAGGCATTTTAAAAATGAAGAAAAGACTGTCTATCAGGAATATTCTTTAATAGACAATAATAATAATAATGATAATAATAATAATTTTAGCATGAGGGATGTATTGCTCCAAAATACTACAAAATAATTCCACAATTCCACACATGCCAGATAATGACGAATAAATATTTGTGAACCAATGGGTTTTTGTAAAATACAAAAACATCAAATTTAAGTTTAGAAGACACAGGGCAGTTGTGAGCACTGTGTGGTGTTTGAGATTTCCACCTTCCATCATTTCTGCACACACAAATAACTTACAGATGTTGTAATGATCCTCATGATCTTCCTTCAGTAACAAAGCCGGTCCGGGTAAAAGAGTCCACATCCTCCTCTTTCTTTATTTGTGGAAATTATTTTTGTGTTTCATTTAGCCAGTTGGAAATATCCCACAATGGACCTTTAAGAGAAAACAAAGCATTGCATAGATTTTTTGAGACGGATTTTTGGATTGTTGGTATCTACATTTAGCTGACGCTTTTATCCAAAGCGACTTACAGTTGCTATACATGTCAGAGGTCGCACGCCTCTGGAGCAACTAGGGGTTAAGTGTCTTGCTCAGGGACACAATGGTGGATGGGTCACAGTGGGGTACCCAGGTCTCTCACACCAAAGACATGTGTCCCCCCCCCCCCCCCATCTAGTATCTAGTATACGGCTAGTATTTTTAGTTACTGCTACATAATTGGATATTTTAGTACTTTTAGTTTTTGATGAACGATGAGTGCTTAGTCTTCCCTAGAGGATTTTTTAGAGCACGGCTGGAGACAAATAAAGAGAAAATGGCAGAACAAGACAAGCCAACTTACATGCGGCCTTGTCACTTTCACAAGCTGGCTGGGCGTGATGAATCCTTGTCGTCTTCTTTCTTGATGTCACAGCCTGCTCCGTCTTTGGTTTATTTAAAACAGCCCTTGGATATGACAGAAAAGTAGCAAAGAATTTTTTTATTATTCACGGTTTACAAGAATTTAAACAGAGTGTAGAAAATATGTAACAGATGTTTGTTTAATTTAAAACGTGTCTTCTATAGAACCTCCTACGGTATTTAATTGATTTACAATCACTGCTACACTCACTTCTGCATTCAAAACACCAGTGGGAGACTGTAGATGAGCGTTTGTGCCTGGGCCAAGAGACCTGAGTCCCACATTAGCATTTCCTGCAGATGTCACTTCACTGATTAACAATTCATTTGACTTGTGTCATCTAACTCTCGTATTCATAGATTTGCATAGAAATGACAGGTGAGACTGAACGAGAACCCCAGACATGCTGCTGTCTAAATAAACCCCAAATGAAAAAGAGGCAACATAATGTCAAGATATTGGCCGACTTCCTGTTGGGTTTAGGGCATCGCTCCAAGAGGCTTTTTGGTACGTCTGGACATGATACATGTGCTACAGAAATTTCATACATGTAGGTGAAACGTGCCACGGGGGCTGCTTTGTTGAAGGTCACTTCATGTTGCCAGCAGGTGGCGCTATGACTGTGGGTGAATGTTAGCATGTAGCTGTGTTCAGAGTGCGACTCTCATCAAACGTGTAAAATTTGGTACAGGTCTGGTCATGTACAGTCAAGTTACAACAACTTCCCTTGTCATGGCGAAGCGTTTTTCGCCGCCACGCCACCGTCACTTCGTTAACCGAAAACTCACTCAAGTTTTACAACATGGCATGGTCAATGTGTTAATGGTTTTCTGGGACAGTTTTGAATTTGATGGCCAACCTGGTAGGAGTAGTCCCTCTAAGCATAAAACGTGACATTTCCTGTTGCCAGCAGGGGGCGCTATAATAATAATAATAATAATACATTTTATTTCTATAGTGCTTTTCAGGACACTCAAAGACACTTTACAGTAAAAGCAGAAGTAATGTACATTTAAAACAGATTAAAAACATAAAACATAAATAGCATAATATATGAACAGTAGATGAAACGCCTTGTGACAAAGGAGCAGTGGACTATACTATGACTTTGAGCGAATGATGACATGTGGATGTGTTCAGGGCGGGACTATTATTATCCATATCTAATTGGGTACAGAGTTGAGCATGTATATTGAAGTTATAACAACTTCCTGTTTTTTGGCGAATCGTTGATTTTCAACGCCATGCCACAGGCACACTCATGGACGAAAACTCACCGTTTGTACAACTTTTAATCGTCAATGGGTTTAGACTACACAGTGAAAATTTTAAGTCGATCGCATTAATTCTCTAGGAGGAGTGTGTTAACGTATGAAGAGTGTAAATCGCCAAAAATGACCATTAAATCCAAAATGGCCGACTTCCTGTTGGGTGTGGGGCACTGCTCCGAGAGGCTTTTTTTTATGTCTGGAAATGATACACGTACCACAGAAATTTCGTACACATGGGTGAAACTTTGGCCGGGGGCTGCTCTGTGGGGGGCGCTACCAAGCCATTTTGCCACACCCATGTACGAAATTTTTCACAATTATGTGCAAAGTTTGGTGAGTTTTTGAGCATGGTTAGGCCCCTAAAAAAGTAAAAAAAATTCCTTCAGTTCCAATAGGGACCTCGCCTGTTTTCGGGCCCTAATAATTGAACCCACAATCACCTGTACCAAAGTCAGTGGCATTAACCACTGACCTATCCAGGAGCTCTCGCTTGCTCTCTCTCTCTCTCTCTCTCTCTCAATTCAATTCAATTCAAATTAGCTTTATTGGCAAGAATGTAACAACAACATTGCCAAAGCATCATATATACAACATAAGAACAATCAGCCCCATACATTTAATTAAACAAGTAATTGAAGTGTAAAGTCATCAAAGCGTATGTGTGTTTGTGTTAAAAGAAAAAAAATTTATTAAAAATAAAATAAATAAATAAAACGGTAAGTGTGTGTGTGTTAAAAAATAAAAATATATATAAAAAAATAAAATAAAATAAATGAAACAGTAACGTGTGTGTATATATTAATAGACCAAAAATTAAAATTTAAAAATAATTAATTGATTAAAAATAATTTGAAAAAAAGGGAAAAAAAGAAAAAAAGAAATCTGTATCAAATGTAAAAACAAAACAATTAGTAAAATATCAAATGATCAAAATAATAATAATTTGAAAATCTGTACAATTATTTGTTAGTCTGAGGTCTTTCTCTCTCTCTTTATCCTGATTCTATTCTTGAATTTGGGCTTTGCTAAACTGTGTTTCATATTTTGCTCCTTTTTAAATAAAATTAATATGTTATTACCCTTTCAACTACAAACATTTATATTTGCTAGGCTTAGTCAAAATCAATTATTCATAAATTGTTTAAAACTTATGTGTCCAGAACCCTGTAAAGACAGAAAACCTCAGTATTTTTTATACAGTCTATACTATACTTCCCCAAATAAGCTTTTATTGTCATTATGCATTAAAAAGTATTTTTTTCCATGTAGTATTTAATCGAGATGGCTCTTCTCACACAGTTTAATTATGGAATCAATATAGTCCTAAATGTGTAGCTGGTTGAAAATGTTTTGTACTAGTACATTAAAATGTTTGAATGTGTACACAGTATCTGTACGAATAGATTTAAATGTTCAATCTGTAAGAAGATCTGTAACTGTGCATGACATTTTGTGAACAAATAAAGATTAGCACAAATGCTTAAACTTACATAAAACGTTTTCGTCTGTCTGTAGGTTAAAAAAAAAATCACAGAGAACTTAATATTTTGTGTAAATAAATTGAATGAAATAAAAAACAAGTAAATAAACATTCATATCAGGCACTATCATCATTATACACACTCACACACTTTAATCATATTTGTTGCATTTCACTAACTGCAACTCATGCTCAAAACTGAGGAGATGACCGTGGACTTCAGGAGGAGCCCCCCACTCTGCCCCTCATCACTATACTCAACAGCTCTGTGTCTGCTGTGGAATCCTTCAGGTTTCTGGGATCCACTATATCCCAGGACCTGAAGTAGGAGCCCAACACTGACACCATCATCAAGAAGGCCCAGCAGAGGATGTACTTCCTGCGTCAGCTCAGGAAGCTCAACCTGCCCAAGCAGCTGCTGATCCACTTCTACACAGCCATCATCCAGTCTGTCCTCTGCACCTCCATCACTGTCTGGTTTGGATCTGCCACCAAAAAGGACAGGAGCAGACTACAACCGACAGTCAGGACTGCAGAAAAGATCATCGGTGCCAACCTGCCCTCCATTCAGGACTTTTTTCCAGAGTCAGGAAACGGGCAGGAAACATCACTGCAGATCCATCTCACCCCGGACACAACCTGTTCCAGCTCCTCCCCTCTGGTAGGCGCTACAGAGCACTGTACGCCAAAACCAACAGACTCAGGAACAGTTTCTTCCCACAAGCCATCACTGTGATGAACAGCTGATTTCTGACTCACAGTGTCAGGAACAATTCCTGTGCAATAACCCAGTAACTCTGTCTCTAATCAGCACCTGTTCACTGGTTTCCACTTACTATTTATTTATTCACCATTCTCTGTTCATACAATGTCATATTGTATATACTGTATACCAATACACCTACCTCAGGTCATAAGGTCATAGGTTTTATTTATTTTTTCCAGCATCCTTTGCTCTATGCTCCATCACACTGTGTACATTTATGTGTACCTGTATATCATATCCACCTTCAACATGTACATAATGAGAATAGTTTACTCTTGCATCCTTTGCACTCTGATCACTGCACTATTTGTCAATATGTCTATATTGTTTTGTTCATAGTGTGTATGTTAGTGTTGTCTACTCTGTAGTTTGTGTCTGATTTTATTTTATTATTATTATATTATTATTGTATAAGTAAGCACATCGTGAGCAATGTACAATCCTGAGTCAAATCGTATGTGTGCACATACCTGGCAATAAAACTGATTCTGATTCTGCTGCACTCATGATCGGATTGTGTGCGGAACCAAAGACACCACAACTCTGTTTCCGGTTGGACCATAAACCAGGGGGACTTCCGTTGGTGCTTTTACTTGCTGGATAACGATGGCTTTCCCAGAGTTTACATCGGAGTAATTAAACTCAAAATTATCATCCCAAAATCCGAAGTATGTACACAGTTTATATGCTTATTAAAAGTATTATGTATTATGCTAACCAAAGTCACTTAGCTAACCATTGCTAACACACAAGTTGGTTGCTGGGGAATAACTAACATCGACACGCTGTTACCGTTAAATTACCGTTTATTAAATAATACAACGGAAGGTGCATTTAGCTAACACTTATAATAATTTAGTTGTTAATAATTAAGAGGCTCAACATCCAACCTTCAACAACTCGGTCCTGCAGTTTAAATGCACCCAAACAGCGTAACATGCTAGCGGCTGTGTTGACTGTTGTTGGCCAGAAATATCTTTTCCCTGCGTGAGCTAGTTCAGTCACAGTTTCTTAAATTCATTAACATGTTTTAAAACAGCCACGGGGTGGGAAAAAAAAGTCTAATTAAATAAACAATATCAATAATTTGATTTAGCATTAAGGAGGTCACCAGTATGTATTTAATATGCATGCACCTTAGTTATTAACCCTTCTGCAGCTCTCCAAAGTTATAACTAGTATTTTATTATACGTTTTTTATTGTCTGATTTAAAAAAAACATTTATAGTTAATTGAATGTGTTTCTCTGTAACGGGCTCTTTCATATATACATTTACAGTGAATGCACATGATAATTGAGATGTTCTGTACTCACATTTAACTGCAGATCAATCTCTTCATTAGTACCTCTACTTTTTGCACCTGTTAGGTGTGTAGGAGAAGATTGTGATGTGTTTTAGGCTAATTCACTACGGCTTTAGCTATAATTACACTAACTTATTGAAGAACAATAGAAAACACATGGGTAGTATCTGTATTTAGGGCCTATAGGCCTTTATCACAGTAGAAATCTTGAAAGAAAAACAATATCTTGCAAACAAAATAGAATAGAGCATTCAATTGACGTTGAAGATATAAAACCAGGTCAAAGTTCATTTCAAAACAGTGACGTGATGTGAGTCTCAAACCTTCTGGTAGTTTGTCATTGTGGTTGTCTTAATCCTGCCTGTAACTTTCTTTTTATTGCTCTGCACAGGCTGATGGCCAGTCTAGCTCCTACCATCCCATCTGCTCTCGCCTCATTTCTTTCCTCGTTGCTTCCCCGCGGCTTCGCTGTGGGGCCATCACGGCTCTGCGAGGGCATGCTGGGGCTGTGGTGGGTTGGCCGCTCGCTGGAGGCTGGATCCCTGCTGGGGAGGGATGGGGACACAGAGTGGGCCTTGAAGGATCACACTAACCCGATGACTCAAAGCCGAGATGGTGAACTCACAATGAACTCTGAGTCCAAAACAGCTCAGACCAACAGCACAGAGGCAGAAAAGGTAAATTGAGTTCACAGTTTTAAAATGACAAACATGAATACAGCTTTGATCACTATTTAGATGAAGATTTTGAAGAACAAAACATTTATTTCATTCAGAAAGGAGCTTGAAATTACATGTTTAGTAGTAGATACATAGTTTTGTACCTAGTTCACATCTTTTTAGTCATGCAAAAGGAAATTAAAAGTACTCATTGCACATGAGGTAAATACAATTTTGAACCTGTTGCGCCTAATTTCTGGGCCAGAGGGTGTGATGTGAGCGTTGCAGCTAGGGGCACCATAGCATGAAACAACAAGAGAAAGCTGTTTGGGTTCACTTCTGTTTAAAACAACCACAGCTGACGAGTTTGACGAAGCTCTATCTGAACAGATATGACTGTAAACTGTGTGCCTCTGCATATTTATGACACTTTGTCTCTTCTTTCGGACAAAAATGCAATTGAAAACATATACTGTGGTCACAGAAATGCTCTGATTAGCTTTATATCACCCCCTTGAGGATGGATGCTTTTTTTTATCTCCAAGACAGTGCGCATGAATATGCTCACAAGTGTGTTGCACGTTTGTGCCCGGTGAGCCAGGTGTTGTCGTTTGCGTTAGAGACTTAGCCACGGCGGCATTTTTGCAAAACTGGTTGAGGCAGATGGCCGTTCACCCTGAGTCATGGTTCTGCTGGTTTCCACCTGCTGAAAGAGAGTTTTTTCTTGCTTATGGTGGGAACTGTTGGATCTCTGTTAATATTACTATTACTATATTAGATAACTTCTGTAATGAATTGACGCTATATAAATAAAACAAAATTTAATTTAAATAAATTCTACTTTCAGCATGCTAACATTTTCAGAAAGACAATGCTAACATGCTGATGTTAAGCAGGTATAATTTACCTTAAATGTGCACCATGTTCACCATTTTAGTTTAGTGCGTTAGCATGGTAACCTAAGCTAATATTTGCTAATTAGCGCTAAACACAAAGTACAACTGAGGTGGAGGTGAAAGTAGTAGTAGTAAATTTGACTTTGACCTGATGATGGTGCCAGAAGAAAAGTCACGGGATCACCAAAGGTATTACAATTTATCTTTTGGAGGTCATGAATTTCTGAACCCCAATTTTTGGCAATGCATCCAATAATTATCAAGACATTTCACTTAAAACAACAAATGTCAGCTTCATGTTGGCGCAAGAAGAAAAGTCAGAGGTTACTAATTTCAGTAGGATTCCTCATTTGGGGACCATGAATGCCCGTACAAAATGTCTGGCAATCCATCCAAAAGTTTTTGAGGTCAACCCATATTGCTATGCATACTGACATTCAGATAGCACGGCTAAAAACACCATCAACCTCCTGTCGACATTAAACAATTTAACCTCTCAGACATTATTTATATTATATGTCTTTGTTTCCCGTTCTTGGATATTTTTTTGCAGTGTTTAATTATTCAATAATTCATGTCTGTTTTAATTCTTTAACCCACTTGTGTTTTTAAACTCAAAGACTGTGTAGAGGCTAAGCCCAAGCTTTTCCCCTGAGGTCCTGTCCCGTGGTTGAGTAATTGATGCACTTTTACCTTGTTGGATCAATGAAAGTCCTCTTTGCAGTTAAACCCATTGGTTTCATCAGTTTCCATTGTTTCTGCAGACAATCTTCATTGTATGCGTGTGGCTGTGTGCTGGGATGGCATGCGTATGTGCGTGGTCAAAAACTGTCTATGCTTCTGGGTGGCATCTGAAGACCCAAAGATTGGTTCCTATTTATTCTAAGAGCGCTAATTGGCTCTTATAGACTGCTTTGTTTCTCCATGATGCAGCTGACACTCTGACGCCCATTAAGTTCACGTGTTTTACTGCTTTCTTAGAAACTGTCGCCATGATTGCATATGAATTCTTTTCATGCTTAACTGCAGAGTTTCTTCTTCATAAGTACCTGTAATCATATTCTAACTGTAAAATCGGTTTTATTATCATTTATCCAGCTTTGTGCTGATGTTTTTCCCCATTGTCATTCAGAATGTCTCAACGGCCTTGATAAGAAAGATGCCTTGCAATTATGATTCAATGTAATATTCAAAAGGCAGTAGTCAAGTATCAATCTGCCACGTCCCAGACATTAATCCATCCTGGCTGACTGGTGCAAAGACATCTCAATGTTCAGCCTTGAGGTTCTTCATCATTTTACATTCACCAGCAGCAACCATTTTGTCTCGGTTGCAGACAGAAGAAGCGGAGTTAATGCAAGCCTCTCTGCTTAATTGAGTGCATACCCTGTGGGAAGATAATGAATCGGTCCTTGTAATTTCCACAAAGAAAGAGTCAGAGCAGCTTCACAGATAAAATGATGTGTTAATGTACAAGTGCACTGCAATCAATACACATTCAAAGCACAACCTACCTATCGGTTCATTTTTGTACCGAGTGGGATTGAGTCAACATGGACATTAATTATCACTGTTATGAACATTAAAATGAAACTACATAGTGTTTTCACAGTTATTCTTAGTGTGGAAAATACTGACTAACACTGATGGACTTGATGGCATTTGAGTTCTGTTACAACTCTATCTATCTGTCTGTCTGTCTGTCTAATTTGTTCCTTTATGCTCTTGCGTATTGATAAATATTTTATTTCTTATCCACTGACCAGTTACCTGTCAAACCATAAGAAGTAGGTTCATGGTTCATACATGAAGCATGATGCCATCCATAGTGACGAAATCAACAGCCCTCTCTCAACTTTCTTAGTTTTCTGAGTTCTTACTAAAAGTTGCTCTCAGCAGCTTTGTGAACAGGTTTCTAGCCTAGTGTTAAGATAAGATAGCTTACCTAATTATTTAGGCAGCATTAGAAATGCACCATAAGTAAATATAAAAAGATTTTGTAATGTAAATGTTGTCTTTTATAGGCACTAATGGAGATGGCAGCAAATAAAGAAGCTTTACTACAAAGCGCCGTCTGGATCAAGTAAGTTGACGCACTGCCTCGCACAAAGGGAACTGGGAGCTTTTTGTCTCTTAATCTGATTCGTAGAGATAATTTAGATTTTTGTAGGGTGAATAAACACTTGGATTGCTTTGCTTTATTTGTCAATAAAATGAAAAATACAACATATCAGACTTTGTCAAGTACTGGACGTATTTCCATCATTGTCCCTGGTGTTTTCAAGATGGAGACAGGCTATCTTTGTCTCATCAAAGAATAAGTAAGAGAGTGTTTTTTTTTTCATGTTGTTTAGTGTGTGGGTCCAAGCAAAGTCTTAAATCTCTTTTTGAAATAAGAAGTGTTTCATCTGCTGTGCATCATAGTTATTTCTAGGGAATGTACTTTGCTTTGCTTCTTGATTATCTCTAATGTAGCTATTTCTAAATAATATATAATTATTACCAAAGCATCTTGGAACATAATCTTGTAATCACACTAGAGCCGCCCATTGTTGAATGAAAAAGGTAAGCCTACATATAGAGACTTATATGTGCAGCCCAGCAGGACTGTTTTATCCACCCATATTTACTCTCTTCATCTTAAAAATAGTGTTTCCGGAATAAATAACTACTGAGTGAAAGCCAACATCACTTTCACCGGCTACATTCTATTTAATGAATTCACCATCTGGCATCACTATATTACAAATAGGAACCGAATGAATTACAGAAAATAAATAATTTCCATCAAAACAAAGCCATGTTGCTGTTAATATATCAGAATCAATCCAGTCAATCAAGTTAATACCCAGCACTGGTGTGATGCTTACCATTTTCACCATCTTAGTTTAGTTTGTTACCATGCTAACGTTTGCAATTGCTCAAAACACAAAGCACAGGTGAGGCTGATGGGTATGTCATTAGTGTTTTTGGTCATAAACCAAAGTGTTGGACAAAGTAAAATTTTGATCCGATGATTACTCTAGATGAAAAATGTAATTAATTATTAAGTTATTAGGATTTACCCTCTGGAGAACATGAATGTCTGAACAGAATTTCATGCCAATTAATTCAATAGTTTCTGAAATAAAGTGGTAGAAAGACTGACCAGATGACAGGTGAACATTGCCATCCATGGAGCCATACCGCTAGCATAGTAAAAAAAAATGAATCATAAAAGCACATAATCAATACATCTATTTATGAAAATGAAAGAAAGTTTCCTAGACAAAAAAAAGCATCATAAAAGACAGATGTCTGGCATTATTCAAGGTGCAAACAATGGATTAAATGGTAAAACATAACACAATGCATTCAGATGTCCTCCTTCAGTTTAGGAATTATATGTAGCGTGCAGTATGTAAGCTTCGGCTTGAAGGTTAGAGGGTTTGACAGTTCATTACAACTATGGCACTAGAATACAGAAAACACTCTTCATCTTAGTGTTGAAACTACAGACT